GTTGCTGCCGCTGCCGCCGCCGCTGCCGCCGCCGCTATTGCCGCTGCCCGCGCCACCACCCGAGGTGCCGCCGGAGCCGCCGGGGGTGCTGCTGCCGCCGGAGCCGCCGGGGGTGCTGCTGCCGCCGCTGTGCTTGGGGTTGCAATCTCGGAAGTGCTGGTTTGTCCCGTTCATCTGGTGGCCTGCAGCAGGGTGCAAATCCGGCATGTAGTGGTTGTGGGGGTAGGGGTGATGGTTGAAATACTGGTTGTTGAGCTTCTGCAGCTGCATGCTGGCCGGCAGGGAGCCTCCCTGGCTGGCCACCGGGGGGCCCATGAACTGGGAGTTGTTAAACCGGGCCGCGGGGGCCAGCGCGCTCGGGGGGTGCCCTCCGTTCACAGTCCCCGGCCCCATCGCGTGCCTGATGCCGCTCGTGGCATTCATGTTGCCCGCGCCGTAGTGTATGTGCTCGCCCATCAGGGCGTTGAAGGCGTGTTGGGGCTGCTGCTGCTGGTGGTGATGGGGGCTCGGGAACTGCCCCATGCCCATGCGATGGGCAGGGTGGTGGTGCAGCCCGTTGGTGCCGTCGGGGAAGCGCCCGTGGTTCATGGCCATCATATGGTCTGCCATTTCCAGTCCTGAAAGTGAAAAGGGCAGACGTTAAGACTCGCGCCACACGTGCCGCCCACCAAGGCGCACCCCACTTTTTCTTGCCTCTGTCCCCTAGGCTCCCCGGACGCACTTCGGCTGCGAACCACTAACTATCCCCGGGATCCTACTAGTAGCCCGTGCACCCGGGGCTGGCCGCCACGGCGGACCTGCCACCCACAACAGAGCTGGGCGCGAACAAACAGCCCCTTCCCCTGCGATCGGGCGGGCGGACCCGTGCCCACACCCCCCTCTGCTCCCCGAAGTCGCCTAATAAAGGAAGTGCCCCGTAGCCGTGCCGCGAACTTCAGGCATTAAATCAGCCCTCCTCATCCTGTTGTTGCACATCCTGTTGTTATTCCCCAGCTCCGCCTCACGCTCTTCCTCCGGGCAAACCCAGCCCTCGGAGGACTGGGCTGGCAGGCGCCCCAGCCGGCTTCGCCCGCCGCGCTTACCTTCCGTCTTTGCGATTTCTGCTCCGAAGACCGAGGGCGGGATCGTCGGGTCCGGGACCGGCTCAGCAGCACATAGAGGGGGCCTTCCCGGTGTGCAGGGCGCTCGCTGTCGCGATGTCGGCACAGAGGTCTTGCAGCAGCCGCTGGGGCAGAATCGGAGCCGTTCCCTTTTATTTCCCCTCCGCTGCCCTCGCAGCTCTGTAAGACCGCCCGGCAGCTGCCAACAATGAGCTGTGTTTCTTAGGGCTTTGGCCACAGTTAATATAAGGGATTTCAGGAAGGGCGGAGCGAGAGCCTCCCGGGAGGGCGGTGGCAAAACGCGGACTCCGGAGCCTCGGGCACGCCGGACCGGGTAGCGGAGCCGCGTCCCCGCGGCCAGAGGCACGTGCGCAGAGGCTGCGGGCCCAGGCGCCGCCTCAGTGCCGCCGGACTCTGGTTTCCTCTCAGCCCACAAACACCGGGCCAGCCCGGTCGCCCCGGAGCGGGAAGAAAACGCCCCCTGCACTTCTAGCTCCAAATTAGCGCCTGCCCCGAGAAGAGCGAGGAAAACGCACTGCTCCCCGCTGGCCGGATCCCCCACCCCCCGCACTCCCAGTCGGCTCACCTAGCGATCTGGGCTGCCTTCTGCGGGGAAAAGGGGGTGCCCTGCATAGTGCTCTTCCTGCATAGTGCCCTTCTGCCACCCCGGCTTTGCAAACCCTCCACCCACGCCCCCCCCCCCCCCCCCCCCCCCCCCTTCCCCGGGCTGCGAAGAATGGCTGTGTTTCCCCGAGTGCGGTTTTAAATACCCGGACAAATAATGCCCCTTCCCCGAGCACACTTTCCCGGGCTGTGCCTTTGTGTTTTTATAGGAGCACTGGGTGAACCTGATCTAGCTATTCTGAGTGTAGATGCATTCCCCCCCCACCCCCCATCCCCGCCGACTCCTTTCAAGGACAGGAGCTGGGGGCGGGGAGCGGCAGCGGCTGCAGGTGGACGGAGCGCGCCCGCGGGCCCGGCCGCCTCCGCTCCCTCGCCCTGGAGTCCGGTCCGCGCTTTCGGGCCCGCTCGCCGCTCCCGGGGTACGTGTGCTTCTGCTAAGTTTGCGTTTGCAGCTCTTGGTAGCTTTGGCATCCGAGCTGAGGCGTCTCTGCTCTGTAAACAAACTCAGCGATCCTCGTCCCCAGATCCACCTTTTTGCACATACACAGTTTCTTGCTTCTGCTGTTGCCCTTGATCCGGGAGGTGGGGGTGTGTGCAAACTTGCACAGCCTCCCTCCGGGCTCTGCCTGACGATTTGGGGTTGATTTAGAAGCGAACGGGTTTGTAATTAAGAAATTCGAGGGCTGAGTAAAACTGCTGTTGCTGGAAAAGGAAAACAAATAGATAACATGGTAATCGCTTTGTAAATAAAGTCGTTCTGGAGGTGGGCACGTAGCTGCACGTCCCGTATGGCACCGTGCGCGCGCACACACTGCTGGGACTCTTCCTTTTCAGTGAAATTGTTCAGTGGGGCAATAGGCGATAATAATAACCTTGCTTCCCAGAACGCGGCACAAGTAGCCTGGTCGTCCATTTGGCTCATTGACTTGCAAATAAAAACCCTAACACCGGTCTGGGCTACTACCCGGTCGGAGCCCTCTTGCTTTCTCACTTGGAGAAGCCGAGTTGTTTCCCCAACACCATAATGAGGTTGCTCCGAGCTTTTTATATTGCGCTTTATGTGGTAAAAGCGAGTTTAGCGCTCCGAATAAGGACTTCTGTTCAGAGTTGTTCCTTCATAACTCGATAGCCATTGAAGACTTCCTGCTGCGAAGGGCTAGTCCCCCGCCTTCCACCCCTCCTTTTCTCCCTTGCACACAAGACTTTTTTAGGGCCTATTTTTTGGAGGACTGGAAATTCTGATACATTTCCCCTTTCAGGAGTTTGCAGAAACCCTGAGGATTGCGAGCGAATCCTGATTATGTGAATCTATTATCCCTCTGTCTTCCTCTAGTTAGATATATATAAATTTATAGACCTACTATACAAATACAATATTTTTAATATATGTACTTAAACATTGTTACCGTCTTTTTCTCTTTCCTTTTCCAGGCTCTTCAGCATTTATAGCTGTGTGTGCAATGATATTTAAACCTCAAAAATATTTACTTTTTGGAGACTTGCGCATGGAACACGTTGCATTGTTTGCAAAAATCTCCTATTCTGTCTACCCACCACTTTTACCTGTAGGTCATCGACTTGCACTTACTGAATCGGAGGCTGGGGAGAAACCTGAACGTGCCACCTGCTATTAAAAAAAAAAAAAAAAAAAAAAAAAAAAAAAAAAAAATCTCCAAAATTCTGGTCAAGCCCGGACTCAAAAATTGTCAGATAGATTGTTGACTTCCTTTCCTCATACTGCAGGGTCTTGCGACACGACGACGGCCAGCTCTTGAATGCCTAATCTAAATTCCTCTTGCAGCCATTAAGAAAAGGTACAGCTCCATCCAGTGCCAGTGGTTCCACATACTGTTGGGAAATCTCCTGAAAGGTCACCTCCCCACCCCCCATCCCTTAAAGGGGAAAAAAAATTTAGTGCTGGGACCAGCTGGTCAAAACGTAGCGTGCTTTGCTCATTTATTCATCCGCCCAGTGAATGTTCCCTACACGCCAGGCACTTTCTTAGCGCCTAGAGGAACAACAGGTATGGGAACTCATTTTCGAAAAGGAGAGTCTGGCAGACAGGTTTGGGGCACACTGTAATAAATGCAGCAGCAGCATTCAGCCAACGCCAGGACTTCTGGAAGTACCTAGGAGGGACCCCTGACCTGGTCTCAGGGGCCTTGGGAAGGCTTCCCAGTGTAGGTGGTGACTAAATTGAGGCCGAGGATGAGTAGAGGTTAGGCCACCCCAGGAGGGGGCAGAGACGAGAGCGGCAAGGTTGGAGAGGTAAACTGGGGCTGGATCCCGTGGTCGTTGGTTCCCAAACTGAGAAAATTGGGATTATATCCTGAAGACAAGGGGATACAGGCAAAGACTTGTGAATCAGTGAGGCGATCACGTTTTTGTTTCAGAGAGATCAGGACAGTACTGTGGAGAATGGATTCAGAAAGCAAGGCTGGAAACAGGGAGTCCAGCTAGGGGCAGTTATAGTCCTCAGTCATCCAGGGGTATGCAGAAGCCCATGGAACCAAGGGTTTCTCCTCTGAACCCGGGTAAGGACATGGTCTGTGTGTGACCTTCGCAGCGATAGGCAGCTATATTAGCTTCCCAGCACTGCCGTGACAAAGTACTACTCTCTTTATGCCACTCAGGCTGAAAGAATAGGAATTTGTTGTCACAGTCCTGGAGGCTAGAAGTTCAAGATCAAGGGGTGGGCAAGGCTGGTTCTGAGGGCTGTGGCAGAGAATCTGTTCCATGTGTCTCTCCTAGATTTGGTCATTTGTGGGCCATCTTCGGTGTCCCTTTGCTCGTACCTGCCCCATCCCATGTCTGCCTTCATCTCCACATGGTGTGGCCCTGTGTGCGTATGTTTAAAATTTTCCCTTTTTACAAGGACACCCGTCATATTGGATTAGAGCCTATGCTAATGACCTCACTTTAACCTGAATATCTCTGTAAAGACCCCATCTCCAAATAAGGTCACATTTTGAAATACCGAGGGTTCGGATTCCAGCACATCTTTTTTGGAGAGACACAATTCATCCTATAACAGTGGTGGAGAAACTGAATAACACCAGACCCCTTCCCTTGTGGAAAAAAAGACGCTGCCTGGGGCTGTCTTCCCAGGTACCCTGCCGGCCTGCACACTCATTTCTTCATGTTTCTGCTCAGACACTACCTCGATGAGGTCTTCCTGACGATCCTACCCAAACAGCGATAGCCCTGTTTGCTTTCTTACACTGTTGGTTTTGCCTCTTGGCGTTTATCCCCACCTGATATGTTGCATATTGAATTTTTACTGTCTTCTCCTCCCTACATTGGCAGCTCCAGGGAGTGGAGACCTTGCCTGTTTGTTCATTTAGTGTCTAAAACAAGTCCTGACAGGTAAGTCTTTTACTGACCAGATGAATGAATGAATGAATGAATGAATGAAATATAGCAGAGGTACTGAGGGAAACTGAATGAAGGATTTATGAGAGAGGCACTTGGAGGGTTGAGCGTCCGACTTCGGCTCAGGTCATGATCTCGTGGTTGTGAGTTTGAGCCCCATGAAGGGCTCTGTGCTGACAGCTCGGAGTCTGGAGTCTGCTTCGGATTCTGTGCCTTCCTCTCTCTCTGCCCCTCCCCTGCTCATGCTCTGTCTCTCTCTCTCTCTCTCTCTCCCCTTCAAAAATAAATAAACATTAAAAATTTTTTTATTTGAAGGATTTATGAAGGGGGAGGTCAGGCAAGATTTTCTGGAGAAAGTTACTTTCAAGACTGGATGTAGAAGAATCTAGTGGAAAGGACAGCAGGGCACCGCTGTCTGCATGTGGCCTATCATGCGCTTGAACAAAATTGTGATCTGTTTGGGAAGATAGCTCATCTGGGGGTCATTGACTGTTGAGTTATGGAGGGAGGTCCATATCGGTGTGATGTTTTGATTGAAACAGAGCTTTTCTGAGGTATGCTTTGAGCTTCAGGAAACTCTTGAGTTGAGGAAGGGATGACTAAAGTACCCAGCTTCAAAAAAAAAAAATGTATGGAAGAGTTTATACATGTGTTGATGGGGTGGGGGTGAGGCTAGGGGCCAGGGGCTAGGGTGGGGTCTAATACTAGGTTTTGTACTTTGTATAAATGATCTCACTTAATCTTTACCCTGACGAGCAAGGATTACTTTCATCATTTCAGAAAGGAGGATTTCTCAGAGAGTTAAAAAAAAAAAAAAAAAAAAAAACCCCACCCAAAAACTTAAAAAACAAAAAACAAAACCCACCCAAAAACTTAAAAAAAAAAAAAGGCCACCTTCTCAGAGGGTTATTAACTTATGGTTAATAAAGACGCGGAATCTGTCTATGCATTTCTGCAAGTTGAATAAATAATGCCCTCAATGTATGTGCTTATGTAAAAATGATACATTCATGTCAGTTTTAACCTTGTGGATTTGGTTCTGTGTAATAAAATACAAATTCACTTGAAATCACCACTACACTCATGATAGTGTTTTGCGTCTTTATGTATTTTCTCATTCAATAAAAATATAGTGATTCCCAGGGGGAGAGGGAGCAGGCAGTGAGATGTTTTTATTAAAAAGGGATCTTTAAAGTTGATGAAACTGATACG